CATATATACCACAATGCAGCACGCACAGTTCCACGCCTTCGCAACCGTATGCCCGCGTTTTAGCAAAATTGAATGAGATACATTGTATATTTTTCCTATCTTTCTCTCAACGGCTTTACCGCCGGTCTCTCGAAAACTCTAATCGATCGATAATTTTGACGGCATGCTTAGAAGAACATAACAAGCCCGGTTAATAAACGGACCGTCATTAATAATAAAATTACGGCAAAAGATTGAAAAATGTTGGATAATTAATCATGTTAAATGATGTTAAAAATCAAATTACTTGCAAGTTTACTCCGCGCTCGTAAAGAGAGTTTTATAAAGAGAGAGTCGACGTCTCTTTACGCGCACTTCATCAATGATTGAGCGTGAAATCGTTAAATACCAGTCTCGAAACTTCCGTTTCATATCAGTGCGCGCGCGCGAACGTTTCGCGAAGTACGTAAGTGGACAGAAATAGATCGTAGAAAGTGGGCGACGGTATTATTATTAGTGCAGTAAAGAATGTCTGGATAATAATAGCCATTAATTGTGATGTACCGGATAGCCTCTCTCCCGCGTGTGCGTTGCAACGCGTATGAAGTTGTTGAACGCATGAACCGGCGACTAATACGGCGTGTGTGTGTTGGCGCGATGAGCGCTATACTGAAAACATGAAATATTTGCCAGCTGTGTACGATAACAATGCAAAATTTACATTGTCTTATCGCTTTCTCAATGATTCTTTTAGCGGTAATATAAATTTTATTTTGATCGAAATTCGCCGAATCTTCCTGTCACTCGTCTAAGTAAAATATTATTCCTGTGACTGTAATTAAAATTAATTGCAAGATTGGAAGGAAAAAAATGCGTGAAGAAAATTTTTCTATCATTGATTAGGCATAAAACATTTTTGCGGTAATTATTCGTGTTTTTCAAATTTTCAATTCTGAACTTATTTACAATTAGCATAATTCTAGCTAATAATTTAGAAATTCTCGTCTCGATATGTTCGCCAAGATAATATTCATCCTGAACTCGTTGACAAATATGCACGCAAAATTCGGCAGCTTAATTTAGCATTGCGTGTCGAATAATGTTATGTCGAATATATCGCTGCTATCGTAAACATTTGTTACCTGTCTCGACGAGTCGATAGCCGTGCACGGTGGTGAATCGTAGATTTTCCTGCTCAGATCGTCGATAACGCGAAACAGCTGTTGATGCGTGCGCGCGGGTTTCGCGTTTCTACCAACCGCCGTTCTCCACCGTCGCGTCAAGTGGGGAAGGGCGAAGACCACCTGGCCCAAACCTGAGCGCTTCGTTCTGTTTCTATGGAGCACAATGTTGCACGATCCCTCGGATCGATCGGCGCGCCGTGAACAAAAGCTTTCGGTACGTGCGTGGCTACATGGGGAACATATGTTCGCCGTGACGAAGAAAATCCGCGTCGGATCGGCTGGGTTTAATCCGTCTAATCGACGTCGAAACCGTCCGCACTGGTGTGTTTGTTATTGTTGTTGATCGAAATCCACAGCTAAATAATAATCATACGATTCGTGCGAAAGTACTTGAGTTTATATCACAGAGTGTATAAAAGATGTGTTTTTGAATTTTTGCCGCAACTTTTATGTTCCCATTTATCATTTAGCAAGAATCTCTGAATGATTTAGTGCGAATTTTTCCTCGAGAGAAATACCGGAACATCAATCGTTTTCGCAAATGCTGGTGAGGATGAAGAAATTTCAATAAAAATCTTGATTTTTGGTCCGAGCCAATTCTAAGTAAATCACACTTTAACGAAATTTTACATTTAGTTAAAATATTTAAGATTGCAGTATAAAACTAAAAAGAGTAATATCTAATTCATATTTTAAAATTGGTTTTATATTGATCAAGTAGAAATATTTTTGACATTTTACAACATTTTATACAATAAAATAATGATATGAGAACAGAATCGAAAAATAAATCGGCTTAGAGATAAAAATTTACATTTCAGAAAAGGTATATTTGTACATAAAAATAGTTATCTCTAAAGAGTAAATAAGAAATTTATCTCTTAAACCTATTCACTCTTTTTGAGATCAATCTCCAGTTTTATATTACAAGTTGAAAAATCTTAACACTGATCTTGAAAATTTAATTCCCGAACAAATAATGATATTGCTTAATTCTTTTATAATTTATGTTGTTAGCAATTAAAAGAAAATATGAATATATTTGTTGCGTATCCTTATAATCATCACGCAATTTTTATTTTTACGAAATAATATAGGTAATTAAAATAAAATAGCTAATTAAAAAGTAAAACAAATGTAATAGTAAGGAAATTATAATTTATATATTACTATTAGGTTGATAAAAACTACAAAATTTATCAATCAAACTTATTAAGTGTTTTACATATACGCATTTTAAACAATAATTAAAGAAAAAGGTAATGAGAATCATTTTTAAACACCATAAAAAAGGCATAAATAAAATATTTTTTACTTTGAGTTTACATTCAAATTTAGTTATTCTAAACTTTAATTATTTTAAATGGATAGTTTGCTTTATTTTTGCGCAGATTTTGTACTTTTTAGAATGAATAATAATTATCTATAAACGACGAAACTTACGATTGCATTTTTCTGAAAGCAGATACAATTGAACTAAATATGAATATACGATTAAATTTTTCTGAAAACAGATATATTGAACTGTAAATATAAATTGAAGGTACATACTACTGCAACGATTGACCGAAATACAAGATTGATACGTTCAATGGTTAAAAAACGGATCTCGCGATATATATATGTATACACATTGGTACTAGACACCGATGAAAATATTTGATTGCATTTATCGAACTTTTTGTTTATGCATCTGTTTAAAGAGATGACACATTCGAAAACGCTTCAAAGGATATTGTGTGTCACGCGATTACGTTGTAAAGTTGTTTCGCGGAAGATATTTGCTAAGATACGCAATATTATGCGCGCGGGAAAATAGCGGAAAAAAAACAAGGCGATACGCCACTCGACGATCGACATGATTTTCCGCACGTGACTTCCGGCAATATTAAATATTCAGTTGTAGGGCTAGTTGCGTGCCATGCAAATCCGTTCGTTCCACTTTTGCCGGCGCGTCTGGGTATATTAACTTTAGATCATCCGTATACATCGATTATCGATTACCGCAGCGAATTGTAAAATTAGTCACTCATTTGTTAAATGACAGAGAGAAAAATTTTATTATTATTTTATTGAAATATATCTCAATTGATGTAATTGACAGAATTGTGAAAAACTCTACAGCGAAGAGTTTTAGAGACTACAATGTACTTTAAAAGTGTTGAAATGATCAAATGACAAATATAGGAGAGTTGTAGTGTGCTTAGCTTCTTCCAAATTCTTCTAGCCGTCCCGTTATGATTTATTCCGATCTAATATATTTCTCGCTCGTTAATCACAGGCTGATGACCTCCAAATCCCCAATTCTTAACTGTTAATTCATCCTGCGCGATTTCTACATACTCATCCTGGCGTGTGTGCGCCAGGTATGCTAACGGGACACTTAAATATTCCAGATAAGGACGTTGCTATCGCGATTACCCGTTTTTAAAGTGGGCTTTTCCTCACGCGTAGGGGGTCGATCGTGATCCTCATTCATGGAACACTACGGGTGTTCCGACCTTTTCTCAGCCACTTTTTGTCGTCATCTCTACGCTGAAGATAAGACCGGTAGCCAAAACTCTCGTATTCGTGAAATCGGGATTCGGAATTTTCAAGACACTCCTGAGCTGGTGAATTTTACCTGAACATAATAAAGCTAATTTTAGCACGTTCGAGTTTAACTATAGCTCAGTGCGTTTTAACGCAATCAAAGATTTGATCATCTTTTGTATCTTTATATCAAAATATAAAAAAAAATTGAAAGAATCAAAATGTAAAAATGTTATAAACGGCAGTTGTGGAATTATCACATCAAAGTGATATCAATTCATATGAACTTACATAGAATAGACTAAAAATTGAAAACATATTGTAAAACAAAATTATAAGTTATTTGCAGATAATTACACAATTAAAAAACAAATAAAAAGTAAAATAGTTATGAATTAAAAAAAAATTGTTGGAAGCTTTAAGCGAACATTCATCAGCAGGACGCCGCCAGTGCGCGAAGTGCGCAACCACGGATCGGATCGATTCGCGCAAAAAGCTGACCCGATCCGCTATTTAAAGGCATATCCCAGATTTTACTACGCGACGAATTTTATTCTCGGATCCCTTAATGGGACGAATGCATGTATGCCCGGTCGTACATTCAATCGTGTACATCGTAAAAGAATGCAATCGGGATAATAATAAGCCGAGATGAGAGGAGAGCCGATGAATTATTGAGATATCGGGAGTACGATTGCGCGAGGCGCCGTGAATCGTAATCGAACATCTGAGAACCGCCATCTGGAAGCGGAGGAGGCGGACGTGGAGAGGTGGATGTTGCGCCGCCGGCTTGCAACAATCTGTGCTAATGTAACGGTTGCTAGTTTGCTACTCGAAACCAATGAACTTTGTTGCATTAGCGAATTAGTTGCCGCTTTTGCAACGATTTCGGATTGGGATTTTCGATCATATCCGCATGGAGCGTGTAACTTTAGCACCGCGTGACAATGGACCATTTTACCACAACTTTTCGATTGTTAATCTATGATAGCACGCTTCTCCGAGACGTTACAGCAGATCTGAATATTTTATCTAGCGATAAAATATTCAGATTTAAAAAAAATCAATTTCTGAGAATGTCAGATTTTTATCCGACAAAGCGTGTGCAATCTGCTTCAATTTTTGCACATATTGCGTTTAGATCTAAATAAATAAATAGATTTTAATGTGCGATTAGAATACTTTGCGAATACTAATTAGCGGCGCGATATTTCTAACCGAGAGAACACGCTTGCAATTTTTACGGGCGTAAATCGCTTTTGGCGTCATCTCGATGCATTAATGTTTTTTGTATTTTGATTTCAGGTATCAACGCGTTGCTCCGCCACCGGTAAAGCATGAAAGCTGACAGCGACGCGAAGTGAACAGGCCCTCTCATTCTCCCCACTCCCTCCCTTTCGAAATACGCACCTGCTGACAAACAGAAAACGAAGGCTGAACCCTCTGACTATACATACATTTAGAAAAAGGAAAAAAAAAAAGAGGATCGCAACGGATCACCGCCAAAAGCTAGTAGAATTTTAGTCAAAACGTGAGAGAGAAAGAGAGCGTGCGAGCGAAACAAATATATATACACACAATAGGCATATATGTATATATATAGAAAGAGAAAACGAGAGAGAGAACGAGAGAGAAACAGAAGATATATATTATACACAATTATATAAATAGATATATAAATATAAATAAAAAGAAGCGATACGTGAGCGTGTAAATAAGAGCTATTTTTCGTATGAGAGCAAGAGAGACGCGCCCTGGCCGGAGAGAAGCGTGGAACGATACGTTCGAGAGTATCCTCGAACGAGAGAAGATTTAAGGTGCTCCTCCTGAAGAAGAGAAGCCGAGTCGTCGAGTGGTGGGAAAGAAGTAGAGGCAGAAGACGACGACGACGGCGACGACGACGCGGCCACGGCAGACGAGAACGAAAGGATACACTGCGTCACGGTTGTTTGGACGTTGTTTCGATGCTCTCTAGTCCGGATCGCCGGTGTTTCTCCCTCCAACAGAGGAGTAGTCCACCTCGCGGAGACTGACCGGCCCGATATTCCGATAGGAGTCGGGAAGGAGGCGAACGGGTGTCGACGGTGAAGCAAAGGGTGGAAAAAAAAATAGAAAAGGTAGAGGCAGAAAGAGAGAGAGAGAGAGAGAGAAAAGAGGAGAAGGAGAGAAAGAAGACGGAAATATAGAAAGTGGTCGTGCGGCATCGAGAGGGCCGGCTCCATGTTGTGAGCGTCTGAGGACTGCCGAGGGCAGCAGCGAAAGGGCGGAGTAGGGTGCCGCCGCCGTTATGGAGTACGGTGGCGGGGGCGGTGGGGCACGCGGGGGTGTCCAGCCACCCTCCGCGGGGACGAGGGGCATCGCCGGCACCGACACTACCGACGCAGCGTGGCACAAACACGAACAAATGATGCTCATGGAGTCCAGGCACAAGCAACAATGTGAGTAGACGCACCTCTCAGTCATTTTATCCTTTCCCTTTCGAGGTTGATGATGCACGCGCGCGGTAGCGGGAGTTTTCAGCCGCGGATTATCGGTCTGAGAGAGCGAGGAGCAGCGGAGGAAGCAGTGGTTGTTTCGCTGCCTGCGTCAGTCCAGAATGTACGACGGCAAAAATTCTCTTTTCCACAATTTTTATATAATTTCGAGAGCGGTATAATTTGCAAAAATAATCTTTAACGCTGCAATTTAGAGATTTATTTACATAACAAACTACGAACTATTTAGCGAGCAAAATGTTAGCGATGTTGGCGGATTGACAGGAAATTTAATTAAATTTCCTGTCAATTTGCCAACATTGCAACAAGCTGACTGTCCGTTGTCGACTTATTCGCACTGCATTTTAGATTGTTATAAAAATTGAAATTTTTTTTCTTATATGACTATTTTTCACCCAAAAACTAAGATCTTGGTTCTTTTCGCACGAAGATCATTAATTTGTTGGAACTGAAATCCGCGTGATTAATAACTGGAAGAAGCGTTTCGCGGATTATCGATTAAATCTCGAATGTATTGCCGAATTTTCGTGTGTGAGGTTGTCATGCTTAATCAGGGATGAAGAGACGGTGATGATCGTCGTAGCTCGATCCGTTTCAAATGAACGCTTTTATTATCGAGATATTTGTCTTGGATTTTGCACGATGTAGCAGACATTTTTTTTTCTGACAAGAATAATGTCATTGATGTCGAAAGAAAAATCGTGTTGAGAAAAATAATTTATTATAATAGCACATAATATTATTACAGTATATATGATAATAGCATCACCAAGTATTTCAGTTCAAAATAAAAAGAAGTAGGCGGGAGCGCGAAATATACGTCGAATGACGTATCTATATCGTTTAGCGCACAAAGAATAGGGAGCGAAAAGCACATGTCTTCGCTTTTTTCTTTTTTTTCTTTTTTTTTTTTTTGATCCCTGACCTTTGGCACGTCTATATACATGCACTATAAAACATCGGCGGTCGAGTATTACGAGGGAAAAATATGAACGGTGTAACCATAAGTTACGACGCATAGGGTCTTTGACAACTGACGTTTACGCCTGGCTCAACTGTCGCGTTTTTCCGTCACTCCCGAATGCCTTCGAATGCAACACGTTACCGCGGGATGCTGCGACAGATTCTCGCCGCTATTTTCCTTGACGCGAATTCCTCCACCAGTCGTTTCACGTAAACATTAGTCCGCGCCAGCTGTCACGAACCCCCAAAATTTTTTAAATTATTTATTTCAGAGAATTTTTTAAAATCTCACAATCAGACATATATTGGAGAAGTCGTTATTTTTAACATAGTGAAACAGAAAATGTAAGTCGCGTCGTAATACACGCGGATTTTTTCGAGTGACTTTTCCGCTTTTTCGCAAATTGCGCCTTTATTCGACGAACTTTTGTCCGGCGCGTTTATCGACCAAACAAAAAGCGAAAAAAAAAAAAAAAAAAAAAAGATCGACACTATGATACAGGCACACGAGATCCACGCCGCTATGATGATGCAGGTGCATCGCGACACGCGATAACCGCGCGCGGGCTTTGGCCCGAATTAGCAGGTGCAATGTGCATTAGCCGAACGCACACGGGTTTTCGGTCTCCGCTGTCGGATGAAAGGAAAAAAAAGTGCGGCGCGTCGGTTTCATTTCTATCCCCCCCCCTTCGTCCCGGTAGTGTTGTCCGATAATGAGACGCGCGTAACGAGCCGGCGGCGGAAGGAAACTGCAGGATGCTGCAATTGCGAACGACGTCCGCATTTAGCCCGACAGAGTATGATTCGATTAATGACGCTACGTGCTACACACTCGACGTTGCTGTCGGATAATAACATCATTTTTTCCTCGCGCTCGCGGCTGCGAAGATATTAATTGAGATAGCGAACGATCTGAGACACCGCGAGATCGCGCGTTTTACGCGGAAAAAAAATATCGGTTTCAATTATCAATGAATCGCGTATCAATTATACGTGAGGAGTTGTTTCCTCGCGCTTTCCTTCCATCATGCGCTTGTTTTTTTTTTTTTTCTTTTATTTTTACAACGAGCTCACGGATTTCTTAACAAAAACATCGAGAGATAAATAACTCTCAGATTAGAAGCGATTGAAAATAAAAGTACTCTCGGAAGAGATTAAACTCCCGTAAGGTGCAAACAGATAATAAAAACTTCTTCATTTAATTTCGAGTGAACTTTGCTTTAACAGAATTTTACTTTGTGGCGTGCTTATCAAGATAATTAATGTTGAGAATCAAGAGGTTGCGAGGAAGAATTCGTGAATTAAGAATGGCGCGATAGATGTAGGACGCTCTATAGAATTTAAAAGGCAATTGCAATTTATGGAATTTCATTATGATTTAAGGAGATATCGCGTAGAATAACGGCGCGGATATAAGTCTTGATTAATTAAACAAGACGAAATAATAATTCTGCAAAAGCTTGCATTTTCTTCAAGCGAGACATATTTGTTTATCGCTGTATGAGTGCACTAATATAAATTGGAATTAGATTCTACATTATTTTAACGCGTTACATACTTAATAATACGTAAATCTCATCTATGCCGGAGTAAGATACTTTTGGATCAACTCATTGTGCGATAAATCAGCTCGAAAGGGCTGCATTAAGCATTGGAAATTTTTCAAAATCTAGTCGAGTGGATTATGTGTTTCACTGGGTCAGCACATGTCTTAATTAAACGTGATCATATTTGGCGTTTGAACCAGTAATACTTTACCGTGAAATTTTCATCCCTCGTTAAATGCCGATCGCTGTCGCAGATATTGGCGTCCGGTTGCGAAAATCCGCAACCGCGGGAGATGTCTGGCGCATTCGTAATCGACGGGAAACAAATAGCCCTTTGATCCCGCGGCGTTTCACGTAAGATTACCAACTGGCACTGTGATCGATCGTCCATTATCTTTCACAATTAATCGCGCTTTCCCGTTCGCGGCGCGGCGCGAACGAGTGGAGAATCGAAGGGCGCCGATATATAACGCGGCGTTGCGGCGCGGCCGATCTCGACGGCAAAAAGCGGCCGCATTCGCGGTCTGATGACTCGGGAAATTGTTAATTATCGCGATAATAAGTCGGGCCTCGCCTCCGCGGCGCGGCCCCCGCTGTAACGAGTAGCCGTTAAGCCGTATAGCCGCGCGCGGAGACTTCCGGCTATGCGTGCATCCTACGTGTTTGCGCATGCATAAATTCGATGTGTCTAAACGCCCAAACGGTCGCGGAAATTAATTCGCTACAGAGAATTGATCGAAGTAGGATAAGACGGGACGTTCGGGCTTCCGAAAATAGAGCACCGCTCCATTTAAGACCTGTATTATAGCGTTTCTTTTTTCTTATAACACGCGATTAACAGTTGACATATGCTTCATTTTGTTTTCTACTTTTTTTTAGATTTATTCCAAATTTAAAGTGCAAAACCCGATGAAAAATGTAGTTTGCTGTATTTCATTTAATTTACATTATTTATGAAACAAAAATTTTAATCGAGCAATTAATAAGCAGTTAGTTATTTAATTATTAGATATTAGTGTATCGTCAATGGTCTGTTTATACATCTTTTCCATTTACCGTTTCTGCGAGCAAGGATCTCGTAGATCACTGTCTCGGCGTTTAACGCTACAAATCTGGTTTTGTTTTGCCGAGCGGCAGCGTTTCATTCGCGATGCAATCTTTTGTTGTATCTCAGACCGCTTTATTTATCGTCATAGTCACAGGCTGTTTTGTGATATACAACCGAGTCTTCTATCTCGCGTGATCGTGAGAACGGCGTCTGAATCCTCCGCGCGTGTTTTACTCGGCTGACGATCGCAGTTCTCGAAACTACTGCTATTGATCGTCGCTCCAAAATACTCTTTCGTCGTGAATCATTGAACGCCGCTGATCGACATGTCTCTCTCTCTCTCTCTCTCTCTCTCTCTCTCTCTCTCTCTCTCTCTCTCTCTCTCTCTCTCTCTCTCTCCTTCTCCCCCTCTCCCTATCTTCCTCCTAGATGCGTGCGAGGAAAAAAAC